CCACATGTGACTGGAGACTGGCTTGTCCCCAGTGACTGCCAGACCCCCTCTGGGGCGGTCAGCCACTGAGAGGGTTTGTTTTGGGGGGGAGTTGTGAACTGCCAGGGGTGGGCTGGATCTGGCACTTTGAGCCATGGATGGTGGAGATTCCTTGGCCAGTCCACCTTGTCTTCCTTCTCTGCTGGGCACATGCCTTGCAAAACCATGCCAGCGCTTCTCCATCCTTCCAGCCAGCAGCTGAGGAAGCAGTGGGGGGCTTTGAGAGCAGCCCTTTCCCCCGTTATGCCCCTTACTGAAGCATGGGCCCATGCCCCCAACCTCCACTGCCCCCCTCCTGGGCACCCTCCCTCCTGGCTGGGTCCATCACCAGCACCCCCCACCCTCACCCCACTTCCTCCTGCCTCGGCCCCTCTGAATCTGCCACCCAAACAGCCTGCCCCGCTCTGCTGGGGGAAAGGCGAGGAGCCCCTGGGCAGCGGGATTACTGGGGGATTCAGGCCGCGGCAGGCAGTTGGAAAAGCCTCTTAAAAGTGGAGAACTGCTTTCTGCCTGCTCAGCACCCACTGGTCTCTGCCGACCTGAAACCATAAGCGGCTGCTGACCCACATCCACGCTGGGAGTGGCGTGGGACACTACCTGCACCCACAGGAGGCAAGGGGGTCCCCCGTGCGGGCCATACCCCTGGATCAGCCACAGGTGGCTTTGCTGGGCAGCATCGGAGCTGGGGGAAAGCAGGCTGAGAGGGGGCTTAGCTCTCTAGTGAGGGCATAGCTGCCCCGAAGCAAAGAGCAGGGCACAAGAAACCGCTCGACGGGTGCTGATTCCTGTAGGCATCGCCCTGTGCCCGGCTGACGGCGTGCCCACCATGGAGCAAAGAGCCAGCGGGACCATCTAACCAGGCGCCCCATCCAGAGCCGGAAAGTGCCAGACAGAAAGAGAAGGGAGCGCTGCGGACAGGTCTGCTCGGCCCTCGGAAGCTCAGCCCGTGCTTGGGAGGTCATTGCTTTGTTGCACAGGTAAGTGGTGTGGAGGGATACTCGCAGCCTGACACAGGCTGCTGCTGGGACAGCTCGTCCCAGGCCTGCACTTGTTTAATTCTCTAACAAATGCTTTCCCAGGGTGTTGTCTGTGGGCTGGGGAGACTGGTGACATGAATCATGGCCCTTGCACAATTAATAAACAGACCCCCCACCCACCCCATCTGTACTGTGTGGAGGCACAAGGAGCCATCCTAGCATTCGTGCGGACCCTCCTGGATGCAGCTTGTCTGGCACAGCAGGTGTCTGCTGGGTGTCATCCAGCACCGACTGCTCTGTGCTCTGTGTGTACCCAAGGACTGGCAACTGTGGCTGAACCTGCTGTGGCCTTCACCCTCCCAGCCTGGGCTGGTGTTGGCGCAAGTCCTCTCCTGGGACCCACGTGCAGCCAGCTCTGTGGCAGTGCCTGCTCTAGCCCACCTGCCTGTGATGCACGGGGAAGGGCAGGTGCCCATGCTGATGAGCTTTTAGGTGCATGTGAACTTACCTGTGGTATTTTTACTTGTGAATAAAGCTCCTTAACTGAGGAGACAATAACAGCAAGCTGTAGAGTGTTCAAAGGCAGGTGCAGGTACATGATTTGCAGCCATGAGCAGAAGAGCCAGCGTATGTGCCGTGGTGTTATGAACAGGGCAGCTCTGAACTGCCTGGCTCAGAGCTGGGATAAGTCTCCAGCAGCACTATGCTATAGCATATTGGCTTTGGAGGCATCTCCACAGGTGAGCTCCTCTGGTGCACCTCATCTTTTTCAGCCAACATCTAGCTGCAGGCAGGTAAAAGGCCCTTCATGCTTTGCTGTACAGTTGTGTAGCACTGAGCAAGTGGCTCCTGCAAAGGTACCCGTCCAGCTCCAAACTCAAACAGTACTGATGGATATTTGTCTAACGTGCTCTCCAAAATTAGATGTCATTGACTCATCATTGACAGGCGATGCTACAGAAATCTCTGAAGAGCATGCCACAGATGGGCAAATATTTTCTTGCTAGGAAGCTGGGTTTGATTTATTCATTTGATTTGTGGTGCAGGAGAAGATCAAGAAGAGCAAGGCTGGGAGAGGGGCTTGGATAAAAAGGCTCAGGGTGTGTTTGGTATCAGTCGCTCTTATTTGAGGTAGCTATGTGCAGCAGATGGTGGAGCACCAGCACTGATTGAGAAATCATTACGCTTTTGCAGCAGCTCACCTTTTGTACAGCTGTACCTAGTTTGTCTATCAGGTGGAGCTGGGAGAGGAGCAGCAGGTGGGTAATGACAGAAGCTGAGCAAGACTGCTCAGTCTGGCTGTCCTGGTGCCAGTGATCCAGATAACAACAGAAAGGGTGTGAGGGGGAAGGTATGGGAGTCTCGAGAGCGTATAACGAATCCTTTCTTCCTTGCAATGATTCTTTGCCTTGAAAATGTCTCTATAGCACCCTAGTCTCAGTTCATGCCTCTGCCCCTTGCCACAGTCCCTGAGACCTGGGCTGGGGGGAGGAGACTGGAGTAGCCTGTGCCAGACCCCGTGGTTCAGTCTGAGAGTTGTTAGGATATGGCCATCCAGAAGAAGAGCTGCCCAATCTACACACAGAGCCAGATCTGCTCTGCTTTTTTGTGGCTGATGGGGTCCTGAAAGCTTGGGAATCTTTGCTACAAGGACCCGTGGCAGTGGCAGACACTGGGGTGCTGCCATGAACAAACCCTCAAGTGTTTTCAGGAGTAACTGTTCCCCAGGGAGGGGAAGGAGGGAGATCGCTGTGGGTAGCTGGTGACTCCGATCCCACCCTTCCCTCCACAGGTCAACCTTGGATCAGACACCTGACTAAAACCAACCAGTCAAGACCATTTTCTGCCTCCTCATGTCGATGCACTGTGGGGCAGATGCCACGTCCCTTGCGGAGGGGTTCAGAACTGGCCTAGTTGGCTTGTCTTGCAAGTCCCTCCTCCAGCATCCCCTATAAACTATGGTTTCAGACCCCTCTCAGAGCACTTGCCAGCCCTCTTTCCAGCCTTGGCTTTGCATGTTGAACCTCCTGCAGCCTGAGAAAGACCAGTCACTCTCCTTTTCTGCAAGATTCAGGAGTGTTACAGGGTAGGACCATCTCTTGCCAAGCAAGGGCCTTTTGCCTAAAGGATTTGCACTTGCTTAACCAGCAGAGCAACAAGCAATGCTATGGGAATCAGAGCAAGTCATCCTCGTTGCTTGGAGGACACAAAGAAGAGGGGCTGCCTTGAGAAACGCAGCCATATCTGAAGCTCCCAGGTGTTAGCCCTGCATGTACAGTCCTTAGGAGTGTCCTTGTCCCCTCGACAGTCTCCAGTCAGCATGTGACTGCTGGGATTTCCCATGACTGCCAGTGCCAAGGG